GCAGAGAGAACTAATAAGTAAAGAAGAAAAAAGAAGTCATCACGTTTCTACTTTCAGAAGGTTTGCATCTATTTATAAAAACTGTAGTGTCATGGTGAAAGTAGGGACTCACACAGGGCTTTTATTTTGTGGTTGTGGTTTTTTGCATTTTGGCTTTGCAGTGTTAACTGGTGGTGTGCAGGTCTGCAACTCATCCTCATTTACATATAAAACATAAACATATTCCTTTTTAAGTATATTTTTTTGGTCTTTTTATGCCTTTATTGATAGTGCAGTAGAGAGAGACAGGAAATGGGGAGGCAGAGAGAGGGGGAATGACATGCAGCAAAGGCCGTCCGATGCGGGACTCGAACCGGGGCCAACTGCACCGAGGACTGTAGCCTCTACACATGGGGCGCTACGCCACATGACACCCCATAAACATATTCTTGACCCATGAGAGTTTTTGATGTCACTTAGCCAACTCCGGGCACAGTGTTGTTTGATACCACAGCTTGAAGCATAAGTGCCTAAGTAACATTCAATATTATAAGAGTAATTTTTACCAGCCAGCTTTAATTTCACAAATGTGTGAACCAGCAAGCTAACCACTATATGTACATCACTGCCCTCAGCGGCTCATGAAATATATTCAGTTTGAGATGGGAAATATATTACAATTACCACTTTTAATTGCCTTAAATTTTCTATTTTTCTGCCTTTTCTCCACCAGGGAATCATGAGGTTCCAGTGTGTCTGTTTGCTTCTGATGTTGCTCTCTGCCACTGTGCTCTTGCATGATGCAGATCTCATGCAACGCTACAAGAAGTTCAGAAAACAGCATATCTATGAGAAGATGACTGTCACTAAGTGTGATTATGAGATGCAAGCAAGAAATATCTCCAGACTCAAAAACAAAGAGTGTAAGAGTATCAATACCTTCATTCTAGCCGACATCAAGCCAGTCAAATCCATCTGTGACAGAGTGCCATATGATAACGAGACCACAAGCCACCAACGCTTTGACCTTGTTGTCTGCAATCTGACACAACAGAAAGCCAAGCTTGCCAAATGTCGGTACAGTGGTCATGAAAAGCACAAGAAGTTAATTATAATCAAATGTGAACAAGGCTATCCTGTGCACTATTTTGGAGAAAGAGATTTTAGCGACAACTGATTGAACAGCTAATGTGTACTCAAGTTGCTTGTTAAATAAACTTTGACAGTTTACATTTGTTTGTGTTGTAGACTCATGGAATAATCAGTGTTACACACAGCAGTTTTTTATCTGGTACACCATGTATACACCCTCTAGAGCCCTGTAAGAAGGAACTGCCTTTGTTTCAAATAGCTAGAATTTAAAAGAGAATCATTTTTTCTGAGATTCTTCACTGTCAGAAGAATAAAGACATTAAAGATATTTTTGATTCAAAACTGTTTTTTGTGTATTTGTTCACCACAACTACCAACAGTCTTTCGTTTTTCCCAAAAACTCAAGTCAAACATGAGTATAATCATCAAAAAAAATTGTAATGCCCTTTGTTTTGCACATGAGAACATTATCAATTTATTATTAATTTGTTATTTTAAAACACTTCAAAATGTAAATGTGTTTTTAATCTTTTGGTTTTACAACTGTAAAAGTGGTCTACACAGGGGCGTGAGAAACATGCAAAGCTACATGCAGCAGCAACCCTGAAACAAAAGCTGTGGCTGGCCATTTCTCAGCTCCTGACCAAATAGCTTCGACTAATTACTCAGAACTGACAACACTTGTGTTCCACAGGATGTTGGAGGTTAGAAGTTCATAAAAAAACTTGTGGGTGATGCACAGTCCAAAAGAGACATTTTAGAAAGTCTTCAAACAGATTCTTCTAGAATGCTATTTCTTGCTTCAGCATCAACAATGACAGTTAATGACCCTTTTTCCTCTTTTAGTCTGTAGACGCTGCATGCTCATCAGTGGTGCTGCACTGATGTAGAATCCCTTCTTCATTCCTATCAGCATCTGGAGCTCTTACAGAACCAGGATGATCGATTTGGTTGCTCTTTATCCTCCACTTCACATTAACACCTGACCTGCTGCTTGTCCATCACAGCTGTCAGATCCTTTATTTCTCGCATTTGCTTCATCGCATTTTCTTATTTGATTTATTGGAATATTGTCAGTTATCGTTTATTTGTACATGGGAACATGGAAAATTGAAGCACATATTAACAAAATATTGAAATATATAATAGGCCTTTCTTGTCACAGCACTGTGCAAAGGTGGTTCACACTCATTCACACACAAATAACCAGGAAACCCACATGAGGCAGCAGCTATGTTGACAGATGAAGGCTACTATTTCATGGTATATGTGGGACCTCATATGTTGAAGGTTATAGATATTTGGAATATTTGAAAAGTAGCAAGTTGAACCAGGATACCTGAATATTTTTAGTTTTTCATTAAGATTAGTATGTGGTTTTGTTATTGACTGAGTGTACTAGGGCGCCATCTGGTGGTTGCATGTAAAGTTGCATTGTCATGCTGGAAGTAGCCAGTAGAAGATGGTAAATTGTGGCCATAAAGGGATGCACATGTTCAACAGCAATACTCAGATTGGCTGTGGCATTGAAACAATGACTGATTGCTATTAAGGGGTCAAAAGATTCCCAGGAAAACATTGCTGTCACCATTACGCCACCACCCCATTTGGACTGTTGACACAAGGCAGGTGGGATACATGAATCATGCTGTTGATGCCAAATTCTGATGCTACCATCTGCGCGTATCAGCAGAAATCCAGATTTGTCAGGTGAGGCTCTGTTTTCCAGCCTGCAACTCAGTGTTGGTGAGCCTGTGTCCACTGCAGCCTCAGATTTCTGTTCTTGACTGACAGGAGGTCTGACAAGGTCTTCTGCTGTGAGATGCTGAGATGCTTTTCTGCTCACCACGGTTTTGTAGAATGGTTATCTGAGTTACAGTATAGCCTTCGTGTCAGCTCCAACCAGTCTGGCTATTCTCCTCTGTCCTCTCTCATCAACAAGACGTTTCTGTCCACAGAAATGCCCTCACTGGAGATTTTTTATTTTTCGCACTATTCTGAGTAAACTCTGGTGCTCGCTCACTCTTGATGAGTTTATCTCATATTCAATGAATTTGCAATTGCATGCTGATGCATCTTTTTTTGGTGTTTCATACTTCGGACTGTATGAATATGGCATTGATGTGGCATGTTTACCGCTCTCATTTATTAAGAATAATAATATTATATATATGTTATTATTTATCCCGTTTCAGTCTAGTAGCACTTTCCAATGAAGTGCAGAAACATAAAGGGCACTTTATAAACTGCAAAAAGATATGAAAAAATTTTGTGTGTGTGTGTCTTAACAATAATGGCTTAGGGCTTCACCTGTCAGACCTCTGCTTTCCACCAAAAGATGGCAGCAGTGTAAAGAGAGAGGAGAGACTATTTGAGTCTAGTGTTTTACTAACAAAAAGGATACACAGATATCAAAGTTGGAAGGCCAGAAAGCAACAGAGTTAGAGAAAGGTACAAGCAACCCTCATGTTATATCTATGAGAGCAGAAAAATAAAACTACTTAGTTTCAGATTTTAGCAGCTATATTGCATCTGCATTCAAAAGTAAATATTTCTTTATGTATGCACTGTGTATACATTCTCATAGTTAGCTCCGTGGGACTCAACCTGCACACCCTGTAGGTTCACAGTTAATCATTTTCTGCCCTTGTAATAATGCTCTTCCCTCCCCAAACAGTTAAGCCCATTCTGTCTGAAATCTAATGAATATAAACTGGACATTGTGTATAGGGTCAGTGTTTTAAAACAAAATTAAAACTGACTGCATAAGAAAAAAAATCATGTCTGCATTCTTTTTCAAAGGCTTGGACATTTTTTAGACCAACCAGAAGGACATTGCAGCAGAAGATGACATTCAAATGAATTGAAAGAACAATGGGATGGTAATAATCCCTATCAATTTTAACATGTCACTAGGTTGAAACATTGCTTCTAATACTGTATAATTGTTATTGATCACTTCTCTGTACAAGGGTTCTGGTCTAGATTGCTTTGATTGTGTCATGTACTGTATGACATAATGTCAAAAACTATGCTGCTTGTGCAGTCGTCTGTGCAAGTTAGAAAGACTTGGTTGGGATCATACTTGCCTCCAGACAGTGTTGTTGGTAATGCCTTATTGCAAAATTTTCCCAAACAGTAAAAACACACCCCTTGCCCGACTTAACAAGTTCACGACGTGAATTCCCTTCCTGCTGTGTTGTTGTGCCAAGAAGTCCAAGTACAAACTGGAGTCTATAAATGATTCAGCAGTTTACAGAAACCTGTCACTGGTCACTACCGCTGTCTGATACAGGTAAATATGCTTTTGATTGCATGGCAGAGTAAAGTGGTTTGAGACAAATTTGTTGACTAAAAGACATTTATTTCCTATTCTTTCCAGCTGAAAGGACTAGACAAAAGTAAAGAAGAAAAAGAGCATTTGATTTCACACGTAAAAGGTTTGTTTTTGTTATTACTTTCTCTTTATTTTCCAGCTATCAATAAGAGTTTATACAGGGTTTTTATGTGATAAAAACTAAATTCATAATACATTATTCTTAGAATATCAGTGTTTTTATATAGCTAAAGAACCTAAAGATCCAAATGGATTATAATTTTTAATCTTATGCCACAGATATTAAGATTTAAAAGAAAAATAGGAAATTGTCTTTAGGAGGATTGTGTGGGCCATATAGAGTTCACTTGTTTTGAGAAATATGATAACACTGGTGATAAGTCTGATTAGGCTTCAACATTCAGGAATTTATATTCTTTCTTTATTTACCAAATGTTTGCAAACCAACAAGCTGATCAAAGTATGAACAAAATTCACTTGCTCCACAGAATTTATGTATTAGTAGTATGACTAAAGTTAGTAAAGGATTCATTTATGCTGCCATAAATTCTCTAACAGGGTATTTTTCCCCCATTGTCTTCAGCAGGGAATCATGAGGATTCCATTTGCGTGCTTGCTGCTGCTTTCTGCCACTGTGCTCTCTCAGGATGTCACTGACCGTTACAGAAAGTTTATAGCACAACACATCAACGGGCAGATGAGTGTTAACAGGTGTGACGATGAGATACGAAATCGACATATCACCAAAACCGACAGCAATGAGTGTAAGGAGACCAATACCTTCATCCGAGCTACCACCAACATAGTCAAATCCATCTGTGAGCGTGCAGGAGAGCCATATGGTCAGATGACCAAAAGCCTCCAACCTTTTGACATTGTTGTCTGTTCACTGAGAAACCAGCAGGGCAGACATCCTCGCTGTCAGTACCGTGGTCAAGCTCGCACAAGAAGAATTGCAATCAGATGTGAGCAAGGTCTTCCTGTGCATTTTGACAGAGACATTATACACTTTGACAACTGATTAAACAGCAGGCGTGTACTTCAATGTCATGTCAAATAAAATACTTCTAAAAGCTTACAGTTGTTTTTGTCTTTTTTTTAACACAATCGTGCAATAATTGACTATGTAGTCGTGAACTTTAGAAATAACAATTAATGATGGCTATAGTACCATTGGTCAATGCACACTGACCAGTCAGAAATTTATATTTTTCGTCCACTAATTACAAGGTCGGTGGTTCGATCCCCGGCTCCTCCAGGCCGCTTGTCGAAGCGCCTTGGGCAAGATACTGAACCCCACATTGCCCCTGATGCCTGTTCCATCAGTGTATGAGTGTGCGTATGAATGTGTGAATGAATGGGTGAATTAGGCAAGTATTGTAAGTAAAGTAAGACTAGAAAATTGCTGTATAAGTGTAAGTCCATTTACCATTATCTTCACTGTAGGCAGTCACCTGAACCTGCTCCTCAGTTTCCTTTCCCAATATATGTCAGTCACTTGCCAGGTGGCCTACATTGCAGCCTTGCCATAGCATCTCAGTCATTACGCCGTGTATTTCTAACCAGTACGCTTTGTGTTACACTCTTACCCTGTTGCTGCTTGTCTGTGACCTGTCCTTCTGTCTCTGTCCTTTTAAACTTGTTTTGAAACTGACCACCACTTGATTGAAAGCTTGTTTTTTGACAGTCCTTAATCCTGCCTGTTCTGATCATGTCTGCATGTGGGTCATCAATCGTTGCCCATACTTTGAACTGTCACACAATCCCCCTTATTTTGTTGTTCAATCATATTGCAGTTAGAGGAATGTTTACAGTCCACTGGGATCAAGGCTTTGCCAAAACTGAAACTGAACTATGATCAACAAATACTGTCTTTGGATCAATTCTAATGTACGTGTTGCCCTTTTCCCGTTTGTTAAATTGGCATCTTCTTCCCACCAAAACATTTCACATAACTAATGTAATCAAAATATTTCATTGTTCTAGGTAAGTAGACTAATAAACAAATTGACTTGGGTTGCTTGTATGCCCCTTTAAACAACTGACCAGCACAGTGCATTAAAAAAAAAACCCAAAAAAAACACATTATATCTTTAACCAAAACCCCCAATATTAGAGCATAGACATATTGAGATTACAGGAATGATTACACTAGATTCAAGGGTCCCCCAAAATCAAAAACTGAACGATTCAACAAACGTTTTGATTAGTTTGAGTGAAGCTGTTACCCTCACTCTCACTGAATCAACAAACCATCTGCCAGAAGATGGCAGCAGTTTAATATGTTTAATATGGGAGATACAAGATGGTACATACAGACATAAGCCTACATCTACAACTTTTAATATTATATTATTCATTAAATTAATAATAATATTAGAAATTAAAGCAAAGGTAAAGCATATAAGTAACATGTATTTTATCACAGCTGGCCCTGTGGGATTTTAACTCTACACCCTGTATGTTCAAAACGGGTGTTTATTTTACATTTAACCCAACTTGAAGGGAATAATTATGTTATTAAAATATAAAATAAACTAGATCCCCTGGCTCTAGGATGGTTAGCATCTTTATGAAGAGGTTGACATCTGCACACTAACCCCAAAATACAACTTCATTTAAATTGACAATGTCATCCCAGTTTGGTTTTGTCTGCACATTTTCAGATACCCCCGGGGAGCTAATAGTCTGCACTAAGATTCATTATTGGTAATTTCTTCATAGAGGAAATTCTGTGAACAAGAAATCTATATTGAGTTTGTTAATTTCTTTGAATCATGTTTTTATAACAATAGCAAAACCAAACTGCTCGTGCTGTCTTGTATACTTATTGGAAAGACCTGGTTGAGATCATTTTCACATTGGTGGTGCACTTAACAGTCATGATGAGAGACCAGTCAGATTGTTCAGAAATTGTTCCCTCCCTTTTCATTGTTCCCTCCCATTTGATATAATTACATTAGGATTAATCATCTTCAGTACTATCTAAATTAACTGCCGTCTCAAGTGGATCAATCAGAAAATGCTGATCGTATTTTGCGTAGCGCTTGTGTTCACATTTGGACGTAAGTATGAAATTCAGCTTCTGTTATTACCACGTTATTATGGTAAATGTATTCTGTATGAATTTAAATCTTCTTGTAATAACTGGTCTGCATCTGATTTTTGTTTTCAGAATGCAGAGACGACCAGAACTTTTTGACAAAAACTGTTCATGTTGGTGAAGATGTAACTCTAACATGTAGCCGCCAGAATATAGACGTAGGAACCTTATTTTGGATCAGACTTGTTGCTGGAAACTTGCCTGAAGTCTTAGGAGCCACTTACACTTTTGCTAGTGCCTACTTTAATAAGACTCCTCGAATCACAGCAAAACAAGAGCCCGGAACGTTTGTTCTTCATATTACCAAAACAGAGCTGAGTGATACTGCATTTTACTACTGTGAAAAACATGTTGAACTACGAACAACATTTCTGAATATTACTTTTCTGAGAGTCAAAGGTAAATGGAGCAATATTCCTTACATTAGTTACATTTTGCAAACAAAAATATGTTTTTAATAGGAGGTGTTCAGGGCATCATTTTGTTTAATTCATAACTTTGAATAAGTACTTAAGTACTTGCCCCACATTCTTCTTGCAATGCATTTTAAATATCATGGAAAATAAGCAAATGTTTTTTTCCGCATTTTCCAGGACCAGAACCAGATATCACTGCCGTCATTCAAGTCCCTTCATCTGATCCAGCCCGGCTAGGAGACTCAGTGACCTTGCAGTGTTCAGTCCTCTCTGACTCTGAGAAGAAAACATGTTCAGGTGATCCCAGTGTGTACTGGTTCAGAGCCACATCAGATGAATCTTATCCCAGTGTCATTTACGCACATGGAAACAGTGGTGATGAATGTGAGAGGAGTCCTGATGCCCACTCTCCTCCGAAATGTGTCTATAACTTCTCCATGAACATCACCTCCTCTGATGCTGGGACTTATTACTGTGCTGTGGCCACATGTGGGGAGATATTATTTGGGAATGGTGCAAAACTGGAAATTGAAGGTAAGTGCAGGAATGTCGAGTAAATATAGACATTTTGCATATTTTAGAGGACTTTGTTTTAGAAGATAAATGGAATCCTTAAAGATCAGCTTCAATCTATTATTTATCATATTACCAAGAGGCCATATTAAAGTTTAATGATAATTTTTTTTTTTTACTGTTCACTAATTTTTGTTGTTTGTTCCTTTTCTTAATATTTCAGCAGCCAACATGTGGCCATTTGGCAATTCTCAGAGGGCAAATACAGTTTTGCTTCTACTGTCTGCTGCTTTGGCTCTAAGTTTTATCGTTATAGCCTTACTAATTTACATCATCAAGAAAAGCAAGTATAATTGTTTCAATGGTAAAAAAAACTTTTACTTAACCCACTTTTAATTAATCTGCAATTCATTTTGAGTATATAATGAAATTCAGTGCATCCTTACATCCTTACTGATTGTTATTCATGGTTTTTCATGTCATGATCCAGATTCTTCTGCTGACATTCAAACTAATGCTGCAACAGCCATTGGTGATCAACAAAGTCACAATGTAAGTAATGGCAAATATAGGATTTTTTTGTAGTATCTTTACATGCTATCTAATAATGTTTTTCTATATATTTCTACAGACAGATGGAGACTCATTGGTTTATTCTGTGGCAATTTTTACAAGGAAAGATGGCCGAAGTTTAATGAGTGGTGCAAAAGCAGTTGAGGGAGGGAGCATTTACTCGAATGTGGGCTAGGAATAGCAACATACACACTGGAGAGTCTTATTGATGTTAATTTCATGCTTGTATGATACACCATGTGGGGATATTAGAAGTATATGTTATGTCATATGGCAAATGTTTTCCCTCGAGTGACTTACACATTCGGACCAGATGTTTATATGTTTCATTTCTGTAATTTTTTTGTTAGGTCAGTGTTAAAAGTCTTTTCTAATTCTTTCTTTTGTCTATACTATGTTTTTTTGAACTCTTATGTGAAAGGTTTTATATTCAAGCATTCAATGTCACAATAGGAAAAGCATTCTTGTACAAATAACTGACAAAGGGGATTAAAAAATCAAGTTGTGTAAACCTAACCTGCAGTCTCAAATGTCTGAGTAATAGATTGTCACTACGGTTTATAACTGAAATGAAGAAATGCTGGGTTTGAACATAAACGAAAAACTTTATAACATAATTGTGTTAAAATTATCGCAAGAATCATTATTTAGAGAGAGAATTTTTGTTGATTTAAGAGTTATTTGAGGAAGAAACAGTGACAACATAAGTTTACTGACAATTGCTACAACAATTTTAAGAAAATATGTGAATATCCCATTTGACTTTCATGAAGCTTTTACCACCTTTTTTTCCCTTTAAACATAAAAAACAATTATTCTTAATAATCTCCCTTAATTTAATTAATTTAATTAAAATGATATTGATAAAAAATGCCCCTAACAATTTCCCAAAACCAAATTCAAATGGCTCGTTTTGTGTGCGACCAAAAATCCACAAACACAACTGTGGGAAAATAGCTAACACAAAAATTTTGTAGTCCAGTTCATTTAGGCTGCTATGAACGCTGTCATTCTAACTCTGGTACAGACAAAACAGCCGCACTTACACAGTTCGAAAAGAATGGTGTCCCACAAAAGCTAAACTAAACCAATCGATGTGACTTGTTTGTTGCACATAATTAACCTAAATAAGATTGTTTGCTAACCATGGTAACACATAAGCATATTAGAATAAGAGTGGGTATTTCCTTCAGTTCTCAGAAAATGAAAGTGGCTTGAAAGAGGGGTGTTTTGCTTGTGTCCTAGTTCATATGTGCAGCCATTTCCTTACTGAAAGTGATTTAAAAGGTAACCTCATTTTCTATCTAAGAGCAGCCATTTCCCCTGATCATACTGTGATGTAAAACAGTCTGTCTATCAATCAATGTACCATCAGAGTTACGATCCCAACGTATAAAGCTCATGACCAGCTATTTTTGATATCCTCTCAATGACCAGACATGATGAATAAGTTATGTGGCACAGTGAAGAACAAGTTGTTCATAGTGAGTGAAATAAGTTTTGGTTTGGTTTTTGCCATGCTGGCAGCATGGCTCCAGGATGGTCAGTCTACCTCTTTTGAGTCTCTCAACAACTATTTGATGGTTTACATGAAATTTTGTACAGATGACATTAATGACATTGCCACCAGCCAGAAGCTGTACTGTTTAGTGCTAATTAGCAAATGTTGTCACGCTACCATGCTATAGTAAGAGGGTGACCAGGGTGAACATTAAACCTCCTAAACATCAGCATGTAAGTATTATCATGAAAGCATATTAGCATGCAGATGTTAGCATTTTGCCTAAGTACTGAATTACACTAACCGCTAACATGGCTGCAAACTCTTCGTCTTGTTTACTTGTGAATTTGTGTTACACTGATGAGGCAGTGGTGCTATTGTAATGTCACGACCCAAATTGTCTTGAGCACAAATGTAAAATTTTCTTTCTGGAATCAGCCAAAGGAAGCTGAACGGCAGGTGTGGAACCAAAGTTATAAATAGGGCTGATCATACAAATAAGCAAATAGATAAAAAAGAGATTTAGGTATCTGTGTAAAACCATGATTCCCTGATCTTGTAACAGGTCATAGAGACCAACTTCCACCTAATGTAATGTAATGTAAGAATTATGCTGCTGCTCTCCTCTATTGACTAAAACCGCGGAACCTCAAAAGTCTTAAACCTAGAAAAGAAGTGCGACAGGAAATGTACTTCTGAAACCTCTCTGGTGATAACCAAGTGAAAGCATCTGACAGCTTGACCACCTTTACACTTTGAAAAGCTAACAAAGATCCTACCAAGAGACCTCAACATGATTCTTTTATGGATTACTCTGCTTCTTCTCCATCAAGGATGTAAGTGCTTAGTACCTCTGTCCAACCCTTTTATTATATGAGTATTTTGCAGGGGGCAAAATTATGTTTTTGCTTAGAATTTATTACGTGTTGTCACATGGCCTCTTTGCATTGCAACTGTTTAAAATTAATTCATGTAATAAATGCTTTGTTTTTCCTTATTATTATTGTTTTGTAATACCAATTTTATATTTTCCATTGTTTTTTATTCAGATGCGCTGATCTCAGTGACAACAGTTCAGCTTGGTGAATCTGTAACCTTCACATGTTCTTTCCCTCAATCAGAGCATAGCAATATACGAGTCAAGTGGTATAAACAGAGTATTGGTGATACCCTTACATTAATTACCTCGCTAATGAAAGCTACCGCAAATCCTACATTTGAAGAAGGGTTTAGTCCCTCACGATTTCACGTAAAACATACCACCATCTCGAGTAATCTGATCATTCTGAGGACAATCCAAGAAGATGAGGGACTGTATCACTGTGCAGTTACTACGTGGAGTAAGGATCAGTGGACTGGCACGTATTTGTCTTTAAAAGGTAATACATGTGTTTGTGTAGAATTGGAAATATTAGTCTTAAGAGTTCATTTACAATTTCAACATCCATTATGACCGTGTGACATTTCCATTTTAACGTTCTAAACCTGCGCAATAAATTATATGCTACAGACAACCTTTCAACGTTTCGGCTGTCTTGTATTTCATAGAAAACACCAAGAGGATGTCAGACTACACTGTTGTTCAAAGGCCGACAGTGTCTGATCGAGTTTATCCAGGAGACTCAGTGACTCTTCAGTGTTCAGTCATCTCTCACTCAGAGAAGCACTCCTGTCCAGGTGATCACAGTGTGCACTGGTTTGGAGTCAGTCCGGATCAATCTTTTCCAAACATAATTTATGCTTACGGAAATGGACCTGATGAATGTGGCAAGAAACCTGATGCACGTTCTCCGACGAAGAGCTGTGTTTATCACTTCTCTAAGAACGTCAGCTCCTCTGATGCTGGGACTTACTACTGCGCTGTGGCCACATGTGGGGAGATTTTATTTGGAAATGGAACAAAAGTGGAGATTGAAGGTAACTGTATCATTCTGTTTAGTTATCCAACCTTATTGCCCTCTTATGCAGTTTTAATGTTGTAAAAAAATCTTTATTCCTCACTGTTTGATTTTATTATTTCCAACCGAAGAATTAGTTGTTTTTTTTTGGCTTCACCATTTATTCAAATTGTAGTATTTTAGATGTGTGTGTGTGTGTGTGTGTGTGTGTGTGTGTGTGTGTGTGTGTGTGTGTGTGTGTGTGTGTGTGTGTATTTATTTATTTATTTATTTATTGCCAAGTAAAATCCTCTTAGATGTAATTACATTTCCATTTACTTTCACTGATAACCCTTAACCTTTTCATGTTTCAGGAACCAGCTTGTGGTCCTTCGGTGTTTTACAGGACAGTATGAGTATGCTTCTGCTGTGTGCTGTCTTGGCTATAAGTCTGATTGTTGTAGCCTTCCTTATTTATGCCGTGAAGAAAAGCAAGTGTGATTATTGCAACGGTAATAGAGCTTGCCTCACTATATCACACATTATTTAGCTAATGCTAATTTCATTAGAGTTGTAACATAGTTATATCATTAAAGCTACAGTACATTCTTAGTTATTTTTATCTATTGATCATCATTATTATTATTACTATTATTATTTTATATTGCAGCTGCTGTTTCCCTTAAGGAAAATATTGCAAAAAGGAATTTAAAGGTAAGATTAACTCATCAACCAAAAAGTTACAATGCATTTTGGTATTTGTCATTTCATATAATTTGCAATCCATTTCCTCAGAGAGATGAGGACAAGTGGATTTACTCAGCTGTTGTCTTTACCATGATGAAAACTGGGAGCGGTGGAACGAGAGATGCAAAAACAAAGGGCAGAGAGAGAACGTACGCTGCTGTCAAGGCTTTTGGGTTGGATTAGTGAATTAAATGGACTGATATATGTTATATGTCATAGTTGATGTTATTCTGTTTAAAGCTAAAGGTTGTTGTTATATGTGGCTATCATGTAGGGTTGTACACAGAATATACATTCAAGTTGGCGGTCTATTAGGTACACCTTGATAAAAACGAATGTAGTCTAATAGAACAGTCCTGTAATAAATCCTCTTTCATGAGAGTTATAATGTTCTGTTCTTATTGAAACTGTTTCAGAGAAGTGTTGATTCAACAGTATGATCATTTTGTTGGCTGTTGAACTGCATCACATTATGCAAAGAGGTGTCTCTGTTGTTAAGCCCACCCTCACTGATGTGAATGGGTGGGCAAAACACCTGTGAACACAATGCAATGCAGTTCAACAGCACCGCAAATTGCAGCCTCTAAAATGATCGTTCAGTTGAATCAACAACACTTTAACACAGTTAGAACAAAAACTGAACATTATAACCTTCATGAAGGGAGGGCTCATTGCAGGACAGTTGTATTAGACTGCATCAAAGTTAGCTAGATGTACCTAATAATAAACTGACAACTCAGTGTATATCTTCATTTATTTTGTTGTTCTTATGCTTATAATGAGTTAGATTAAATTAAATGTATTTTGTTCCATTTATGTTGGACTTCAATGATTGTGAAACAGTGATAAGCACAGCTATGAGTAAAGCTCTTCCCTTCATCCATCTATGCTGTCTTTATTACTATTTATTACTATCTATTACCTGTCTATGTGTAGAATCACAAATATCTGATGTTTTTGTCATTACACTTTGTTCATTAATGATTTCAACATCCATTATGACCTTTTGACATTTCAATTTCAATTTTTCCTCCAGATTACCTTTTTTGTGTCCGCTCTTTTATTTAGTTGCACCAAAAGTGGTGGGTAATTCTAAATATGATGTGGGTTGAAATTAATATGTAATGTTAGTCCCAGCTGGACTTCTATTGTTTTCACTGTTAACTGAAAAAGACAAGAGTTATGAAATGCATGACAGGAAATAGTGCTGCAGTCATAATGAAAGAACAATAAAAGGCAGCGAGCCCTTATATGCAGCCTGTGTGTAGGTAAACCGCAGGTGTTAGCATTTATAACCTTCTGCCTATTGTTCATGTTGTGTGACCACAGAAGCTGTAGTTTGTGACCTTTAAGCTAGACTGTCAATAAATAAGACATCACATGCAACAAAATGTAAAAGCCATATTTAACTGCTCATTTCCTGTGTTTTTCTGACCATTAATCCTGGTTTATGATAATCAAACAGAAAAATCACTAGTAACACGTACTTCATGGAGTAGGTGTAAGGAGCAACATAGCCTGTAGGGGGCACTAAAAGGACTTAAAAAATTCAAATCCGTTTTTGTTTTTGTGTTTGTTGTTTTGTTTGTTTCTTTTAAGAAAATCAGCATTGCAGTCATTTCGGTGAAAAAAGAATAAGGAGATTTTGATTTCTCTCTTCATCTATGTAGAGGGAGTACAATAATAGCAATTTTTTTTTTTTTTTTATGAAATGTGCCATATAGGCATATTGCCATACAATAAACATTTTGCATGTGGATGATATACAAATACCTCATCCCCAGAAGCAATGACAGATATGTGGAAGCAGCAGCTTACAATTTACAAAAAATCCTTTGATGTTTAAATTTAAACATAAAGAAAAAAACGAAAAAAACACATCACAACTCTAACTTAAGTATGCAAATAAATATATATGATCATTATTGACTACATTGATCAATGAAAATGACTTAGAAACGTTACAAGTTCAGCATCACACTTCATTCCTTTACTCGCCAAGAGCTGTCTCCAGAAGTGGAAAGCAACACCAAAGTTTGGTTTTGCTTCTATTTCTATCACTTAATTTCTTCTACTGAAGTTCGCGTGCTAACCAGCTAGCTCCAGCCTGGTTGGCAATCTCATCACTTTCCGATATTGAGTCACTGCCTCCTATCTACCCTGAGGAAATAACGCTTCTCAGAGGGCAAATTATAACCTTTTGTAGGCTATTGTAAATGCAATGATGACTGAAGCTCTCAAAAAGCAACCATCACCACCACACACTCCTGGCAAGAAACCACATTCAGCAGCAGAGAAAACTTACATATAGCTCCTTTACCAAACAACCTTGCTAGCAGGTATTAGTAATAATCTGACAACACAAAGGTGTTTTTTCTGCTTCTGGTTCGTAGCAGCTAGAATGTGGCTGTTTTCACACACAGCATCTTTGTCTGAAAGAAATGCTGCATAGTGCATCAGGATCAGTTTTCCTCTTGTTGTTCTTCATTTAGCTCCTTGTAGGAACTCTGTCTTCTAAATATTATGTTCTTACAATGATGATTACTGGAATTTGACGATGTTTATTGATGTTGCAGAGAAAGATAAAAACCCTGCAACACTTTTGACCTTTGACCTTTCTCTGACTATAAGGTGGACACATTCTGAATGGCTTGTGGCAACTTCATATCCTTTTCTGTGCGAATTATGGGATGGCAGTTAGGAAAAAAAAGTGCGCACACCATAATAGAGTCATTGCAACGTGTGTGCAAAACCCTGTATGAAAATGGCATGCAAGGTTTTGAACATAGACATGCACAGACATGAGTCGCAGTACAACACACGACCACACTACTTCAAGTTCAAGTTGGATGCAAAAATATAATACATGCAAATGCAGTTTTAATTGCAGTAATGAAATGACTTTGTTAGCAGCAAACTCAGTAATACGATGGGTAACATCTTGCAACATCCTTTTCAGTAGATATGTCAAACTCACACATTCTGTCCTTAGGCACATAACTGTGGTGTCAGCCACTCGGATAAGTCCACTGAGGAGACCTGGGGTCATCTGATTCACATGCTCTGCCTCTAAAGAGGGTTAGTGCGATGTGTGATACTTCACGGCAGAGTACACACACTCCTCTGGTGACTTGATCTTCTTCTTCTCTCTTTTTCCTTTCCGTTTGGAGAAAGCCAGTGCTACATAGTTTGTTGCATCTGCATCACCGTCCTACAAATAATAATTGTGTATTGATAACTCATATTTTAGAGATTAGTGCTGTGAAATCAAGACCAGTTAAATCAGGACCAAGAGTGGAATAAATACCATAAGAGCACATTCTAACCAAAGTTAGGGGTTTAAATGAAAATCAGGTGACGCATTTTCTTCTAGGACACATTAATTGGGAATACTGTTGAATCAGAAAATCATTTTTAAAACATTTGACAACTATGATGCTTTTACTGTAATGAATTTTGGCATTCAAATTTATTTGAATTATATTTACCGGGTCAGTTGATTGATGCACTGCCAACTTGTCATGTCCAGGTATATGAGAGGCACTCATTGATCCTGTTAATGAAAGCAAACCCTTAAGAAACCGTGCACACACTGGGTATATTCGTACTGCTGTCACATCAGTGTGAATTCTATCGTCCTTGTGTTGAAGGGGATGGGTGAGCAAAATAAGACTTGGATTATATTTTCAGTTCTTGGCTTCACAGTTGCACATCACTCCTGTAATGTACCTGTACTTCATACAAAAACACTCTAATGTTGACCACTGAGCATTCAGTTGTTGAGATCTTGGAAAGTGCAGATTATGACCCAGCTCGAGAAAGAGAGTTTCATATGCTATTATATGGGTTTGAGTTGTTAGGATATGTGTATTGTTGGTTTGGTTGGTTGTCAGCAGGATTATGCAAAAAGTACTGAACCGCCTTGCACCAAACTTGCAAGAGGATTGAGGCATGTGCCAGGGAAGAACCCGTTAAATTTTGCAGCAGATCAGGATCATTAACAATGAATTTGATTTTTTTTCTCTGAAGTCTGGTGTAGGTGTGCACTCTGAGTGCCCGTCCAGTTGGTTTGTTTGTTTGTCATCACGATTACGCAAAAAGTAGTGAACCAATTTGCATCAAACTTGATGGAGGAATTGAATTGAATTGGATTTTTATAATTTTCCTGAACACTGTGACAGCATTTGTTAACACTCAGACATTAATATTGTACAATCTGGATATCACATGAATGTGTTGGATTGTCTGGCCTTGGCGGAGGTATGCGCTCCACTGAGTGCCAAGTTTTAGTTTTTATTTATGCCTCTAGGCTCACCATTAAATAACCACTTAACACAACTAGAATGTAGTAAAGTTTTCTTTAATGTAATGTAATCAGTGTAACAGTGTAATGTCATGAATTCAAAATGATTCATTACTGATATGACAAGTAAAACAAACCAACATTTGCATTGATAAAAATGTATGTACATTCAATTAACCTACCTTGGCAATGTTCACAAACTCTCCTTCGACTCATGAAGAAAATCAGGACAGCAACCACAGTCAAACAGCAGGCCAACAGTCCTCCAAGCACAATGTCAACTGCGTCCAGTTCTGGTACTAGAATTAGAAGAGACACTGAAAAAACCTCTTTTGTGTGCGTTAATTTAACTGACTAATGAGAGCAGCTATAAAATAATTTGGTGACTCAAAACCAAATCACTGTCATATTGTCTGTTGGAGGCACTGTCACAATACTAAAGATTTTAAAAAAGCGTATTCTAATCTTAGTTGAAAGTAGCCTTCTTCCTTTAGTATGAATCAGGAGTATAAATTGTTTTCTTTACTTGCATCAACTCTTCACAGAATAAATAGACAGACAGGTTTATAAGAAAACACAATTTTAAGAGAAAGGTTAACATTGTTTGACTTACATTTAACATGTCATAACATGCTGCTCTACCTGACTTAAAGATGCAACTTGAGAGGGACTTATGTGAAATATAGTTCAAGAAAAAAATACTAATGCATTAATTAAATATACAGAGTAGCAAGCCATTAACTATAGATATTAGTTATACATTTTTGCATAACAGGTTTAGGGTATCAAAGTTAAAACCACATTGAGGAATAGTTGATAAGTTTAAACTGAATTAATATAAAGTTTTTTTTCACATATATTAATATATTTTAATTAGATTTTTAAGCGGATAATAACATTGATTGAGCCATGCATGTACAACACTCTGGAACTGGAATAACTAAATATAATACAGCCATTCTTAATGTGATGAATCATCTCCGCTTTTCCTACTTTGATATATTTTAACAGAATGTTTTAATCAGGCTACATCTAATCAAATCTGACCAGTGTTAATTAAGATTGTAAGATGTATTTAAGACGTTGAAGACTTTAAAACATACTTGTCTCCACTTTAGTTCCTTCACCAAACAGGATCTCTCCACATGTGACCACAGCACAGTAGTACGTCCCAGCATCAGAGGAGTTCTGTATAGTTTTGGACAAACTGTAGACACAGCTCCTTTCCTCTTGTTCATCACTCCTGTTGCTGTGAGTGTAAATGATGCCTGGATGAAATCCTCCTGATCCAGCTCTGAACCAGTGCACACTGTGTTCACCTGGACACTGGGCTCTGCTCTCTTTGTTCGTGTAGAGAAGTGAACACTGGAGAGTCATTGAGGCTCCCAGCTGGACTGATGCTGTCTCCGGACTTTGTTTCACATAAATACGTTTCTGCTGAGTCTTTTGATCTGCATGATTCAGTACAACAAAGACATAAAAGGGGATTAATGATCTAAAAAATTTGCATGACATAAAAACCTTGGTGTTGAATGTCAAGGGCATAGACATGGAAAGTAACAAATTTTACCTTTCACAGCCAAGAAGTTGCCAGTGTCAAAGCTCTGTGAATACGCTATTCCATTTTGACAGAAGTAAGTTGCTTCATCCTCTTTGGTAACATTTCTGATGGTAAGAAGATACTGAGTCTCGCTCTTTGTGACATTGAAACGTGAGTTTTTAAATTGTTCACTAATTGTTAGCTTTGAATAAGTTACTGAAGCAATAGTTTGAACCATATATCCAGGAGCCTGCTTATACCAGTTCAAGAATTTGCCTTCATCGTTAGAGAGTGGACATTGCAAAGTAATATTCCCACCAACTTCAACTACAGTGAGAGGAATCTGGTGAGGAACCTCTGCAGTTTGAATCAGATCTGAAGGAAAGAGACGAACAAAGAAAATGACGTTATGAGACAACAAGACAAAAAGTGTAGAGAAATATTTCTGTTATTGTAACGATATTTAACTAGTCATATTAGTTAAAAGTTGCACTTACACACTGTACTAAGAAGAACCAAAGCAGCCAGTTGTCCCATCATTGTGGTTTAGCACCCTTGTGTTGTACCACGGATGTCTTCCTACCTAAATGAAGGTTTAGTCACACGATCATCAGAGTCTACAAAGTGAAAATCATCCTGATTGGCTGAAAGGCTGAAAATGCACTTCCCCCTAAATTTAGCAAAGCCAAGATCTATTTTCAACGAAACATGTACATGTACTTTTAGGCGAGTAGATATTTTCAAAGCAAGTTTGTCAGTTGTGAACAAAGTTCAGATACCATCTTTCAGTTTTAAATGACAGACAGCAACAACAACAGAATGTGCAATGTAACTTACACTGAGCCGCCTCAAATGTCCTGTCTTTTCCTGCATTAGTGACGTCAGCCATGTAAAAGAGGTTTGTTTGTAACTAATAAGCGATAGGGTCTCTTACAGAGCTGTGTAATCTGCCTAATATTAGACAACTGTACTTGAATCTTGTTGTTGTGAGTCTCTCAGTGTTTATATATACCTAAAAATGTAAGAAATATTGAACAGTTCTTCTGGAAGTGGAGTGTCAATGTATCTTGGTTGGTTCAAAGTGAGGTTGGGTGGTGAATGGGTGTGAAGAGCAGGGGTCCCGTTGACCAAATATTTTCCATCATTGACTGAACTTTTTTCAACAATGATAGAAAAATCCTAAGGCTGTCCATCCTTGTGATAGATGTATTGATTTAGTTAGATGGCAGGTTCAGTGGCATCACGCTCACACACACAGAAGCGCAAAGCTTTTTCATTTTGCACACAGAGAACCTCATGGAGGTAACTAAAGTCCCCTCAGAGCAACGCGTCACGCCATCCACATGCTGACAGCTCATTGAAGAGCTACAGACTGGAGGCCTTGGATTGCGTCTGTATGGGTCACAGAGGGGTACAGCTGCGCCCTTGGTGCAGATGGAGCACAAGATGTGAGATTTCCTCCCAGTGAAGTGAGTGCTTGCAGGATCAGGAAATCCCACGTTGAGAGAGTCTTGCCGATTTCTGATCACTTCCCTTGCAGAAATGTTTCCCAACTTTAAAACACTAGCTGAAGTAGCGCTGGTAATTCCAGGCTCCAGGGTGGCAGCAGAGCACGGGTTCTGCCTTCAGAACCAAATTATGGCCATGAGTCCTCATCAGTCCAAGGCAAAGACACAAAACCTAATGACAGTCGACAATCACAGTCCATGGACGAAGATTTCTTCTCAATGTTCATATTTTAATTTAATTTTATTTGTCCAATTCTGTGAATTGTAAACAGTGTTTTAGTGTCCTCCGCTGCTGAAAAAAAATGTAATTATACTAAATTGGAGAATGTCTCATCATCATTAAAAATGAAAAACTAAAATGACGGGTAATAATAGATTACGAGGGAATTCTATGACCCTGCCCATCAAAAGCACAGTCAACAGGTCTAATGTGTACAGCTCTTAGATAGATGATCCATTCTCAGACCTAAGATTAAATCTGCAATAACTGATTTTTTTTCTTCACTACTTGGGGGCAGCAGAAACAATGTTGACATATTATTACCTTTTAGGTTGATGTGGAGAAATATTTACACCATATTATATCTGTCTTAATATTTGTCCACCACAGCTTCCCCTGAATGCAAATTAAAGAAGGAGGAAACTTTTCATGATTGGTAGAAAGACTGTTTCATAGGAGACAGCCCGGGGTGGACTACTGTCTTTCTAGTTTCAGAGAACTTGTTAAAGGCAATTCACATTTGAAAAGAACAAAGGACTCTGCATTAGCTGCACTGACAGACAGGCTGTGGTGGGCCCTTTCTCTGCCTTTGACTGAGCACCAAGGCTGTTTCCTCAGAAGAGATGAAAGAAGAAAGAGCTATAAGACGCTACTTTTAGTTTAACCAGTGGACTCATCTGATACCATATGTATAAATTCTTTCACCACCCATCTCTCTTTCCAATCCAAGAAAGGAAGTCAAGCAGTCAAGCAATACAGTCGATTTTTGGTGTTTCAGAAAACAGGAAACTGCACTTACATGGTGCGGTGTCCGTCTGTGTTGTGCAGCTTTACTATGAGCTGCACACTGGAACAGATCTAAAAATAACCTTTTGGTTATTTGCTCTTTTGACAAAAGTGATACGAAAACACTGACACCACCTTCATGCCTGTTTGTTAAATATGGAGCTGGAGCAAGGAGGCAATTAGCTTAGCTTAGTTTAGCTTAGCACAACGACTGGACATGTGGAAACCACTAGCATGGCTCTCTACAAATGTCATACATACACTGTTCCTATCAGCACACCTAAAGCTCACTAATTAGCACATAACTCATCTGTGTAGTTAGTAGATACAGTAGAAATGTGAAGACTTCAATGTACGGTTTTATGAGGAGTTATGTGTTGTAACTGTTTTACTGGCAAGCAAGAGCAGAGTGTAGTGACGTCCTGGACTCCTGTCACCATGTGGTTTCACAATTTGCAGAAACAGCACAAAACTGCTGGGCGAAGTGATACACTGCAGTTATACAACGTAACTCAGTATAAAACCACAAATTGTCACGTTTACTTTTCTGTTTGGGTTTGAACAAACAGGATAAAAAGTGTTAGTAGTGCTGGTAGGTGAATTTTTAAAAGTTGGATACAGCCAGACTAAATGAAACTAAGTGAAACTACGTCAAAGCTCTATCTTCTTCTGTAAGCTTTTATTGTGACATTGATATTTACAATGATAGCCGTAACAGTTTTTCTCCACTTCGTTGAAAATTTGGAAAAAGTTTTGAAGATGACGGCAATGTTGATTTGTTGTGACATCTAGTTTTGTCTAATCAGAAAGCGCAGATATCTAATGATAACACTGATAAAGACAGAGGACAGTGCAAAGGCACATCAATGCTATTAGACACAAATGTAATGGTACATTAAGTCAATAAAAATAAACACTTATTATTTCAACAAAGCAACATTAGCAAACACTTAAAGCTGGAATATGCTTTTCTGGAAACACTGTCTCTGAACAGCCCTCGTATAGGCTACGTAGGTGAACAAGTTCATTCAGAAACATTCTCACATGTTGCCTCTCCCGTACCTGTATTTATTTTGAATATAATGTTGCTATGTTTTTTCCTTTTTGTTACAAACCCATCCTGCTTAAGGCATTACATCAGCGGATCAGCTTATTTTGCACTCATGTCCAACACAAAATACTGTCGAGATCTGAGAGCTGTGTGCGAGTCTCTGCAAGGCATGGTTACCAATGACACTCTTCTCTGCACTGACCCGCAGAAATATTCCTGTGTATCGTCAAGGAAACATAATTCCAGCCTTAAGTGTCGATAAACAAAAAGTTAACAGCATTAACACACACATTACATATTACACATGAAATAAAGCTGAAATTCTTTTCTTGATGTTTATCAAACAGAAATCGTTGCTGCTGTAGACTCTTTTTATGTCCCTCTTCTTTCTCTCTTTTTGTGGAGAAATCCAGTGATAGAGTAGTTCAGTGCCTCTGTGTCGCCATCCTAAAAATAATGATTATTTTGTTAATAAAGGCATTAAAGAATATGGCCGTGACATCAAGGTAAAGTGTAGATCTAAAAAATAGGGCTTTGGTATTTATTAATGTGCCATTATGGCTCAACACTGTGGCAGTGTACATGAGTCTCCTTTACAGTTTAACCATGGCTGCAGCAGCCATTCATAGAGCAGGTGGCTTGATGTTTATAGTAAATAAAGATGTCATTAACTCTTCATGGCACATGATTGTCTGCAGCTCCTCTGGAGGCTTAAAATATAATGACGTTTTTTGAAGGTAATGGTATAATTACCCCAAAATGCAATGAGTTTTCTTTGTGTAACTAAATCCTCTAAATTCACACACTGCCAGGCCTGGGATCAAGACAGGATTTGGGGACTAAACTAAAAAATGTTAATTAACATTAAATTAACAAATGCCAGTCCCAAATTGCAGATAAATGTCCACCAGGGCGCATGCACTGGTTGCAAGTATGGGAAATTGAGATTTGCATTTTCAAAATTTAGTGAAACGGGTTCCTTGACTGACCACCAAGTTTGGTATCACCAAGGCTTTGTCTGGCGTTGTGGATCGAGAAAATCTGTAACTATAAGTTACATACTGTATTTTTGCAGCGGCACTAAACTTACCTTCAGTCTCTTGAGAAAATGAGGACGGCAATCACAATCACACTGAGAGCCAACAGAACCGTGAGCACAGTGACAGCTGGGCCCCATAAAAAAACTGTAGAAAATATCAAACAAGTGATCAAATTCTGTGCAACTTAAAATGATAATGATTTTGGATGATATTACAAATAATATTTTAAATGTGGCATTTCAGTTCGTGGCATTTCAAAGACTCGGTGTCAGAGACTAATGAAATTGTTGAGATGAACAAATCAGAATAACCATTAAGAAAAGTCCTTTGTTGGTTTGGTCGTAAATCAAAACCTTTAAATGTAAGAAACTTTTGATTGTTTCAGGTTTTCAGCTTTAATGCAGGACACGTGGAGGAAACAGTAGTGGGTCATATTGGTATTGAGTGGACTTAAAGCAACTTATGCTTCATTATCTTTCCACAATATTTAATAAGAGGCAACATTTACCTGACGAGTCAAGTTTAGCTTTACTTACCATGATGATTGTGCTGTTGTTTTGTTAAAGAGAAAAATTAATGCTTATAACAGACCATTTAGTAATATATTTATTTTTAACCTTCTATTTCTCTTCCAGATAAGTCTGACCAGCTGGGGGGTTGTTTACAACCTGCTTGACTGTCTGACTGCTCATGTTGTCTGAACAATTTTATAGATGTCATTACATCCCGATTTCATCCCGTTACTCTGGTGAGTACCATGCTGTCCTAATTGATTGAACTGCAATTAAATAAAAAAGTCCAATAAGCCCTTTAAATAATTAAAGTATGTTTTTCATTATTTATTGGAATAGAATTATGAAAAATACAATAAATACATTTAATTTTATTTTATTAGAATTGTGAATACGTACTTATCTCCACTTTAGTTCCTTCACCAAACAGGATCTCTCCACATGTGACCACAGCACAGTAGTACGTCCCAGCATCAGAGGAGTTCTGTATAGTTTTGGACAAACTGTAGACACAGCTCCTTTCCTCTTGTTCATCACTCCTGTTGCTGTGAGTGTAAATGATGCCTGGATGAAATCCTCCTGATCCAGCTCTGAACCAGTGCACACTGTGTTCACCTGGACACTGGGCTCTGCTCTCTTTGTTCGTGTAGAGAAGTGAACACTGGAGAGTCATTGAGGCTCCCAGCTGGACTGATGCTGTCTCCGGACTTTGTTTCACATGAACCGATATCTTCTGATTTTTATGACCTTTTGAATTCACAAAAAAGGAATTCAGTTAAACATTTATCATTTAAGTACGACTGTAATGATTTTCACAAATGGAAAGTCTTGAATTTAGAGTGGTTATTCACACAGACCCAACTGACAGTTATGCTGAAATGAGCATACTTTACCGTTCACCGCCAAATTTGTGCCATTAATGAATTTCATTAGATATGCTGCTCCTGCTTGACAGAAGTATGTTGCTTCATCTTCTTTGCTTATATTTCTTATGATAAGAGAATGAAGATCACCCTCTTTTGTGACATTGAATCTTGGGTTTTTAAATTGTCCTTGAAGTGTTATTTTAGTGAAAGATCCTGAAGCAATTGTTTGGATCATATATCCGAAGTTCAGCTTGTACCAGTAAAACAACCCGATTTCCTTCCCAATGACTATACATGTCAGAGTCAAATTATCACCGGGTTCAACCACAGTCAGAGAGATGTGGTGAGGAACCTCTATAGTTTGAATCACAGCTAAAGAAAACAAAGAAACAGCATCAGAGTTAGCACACACAAACATAAACAATAGAAGAATAATAACTACTCATTACTATTTGCACTTTTACTTTTTCCCACTAGATAAAAATTGCACTTACAGGCTGTACCAAGAAGAATCAAGGCTGTCAGTTGTCCGTACATTGTGGTATAGCACCTTTCTCTTGCACCACTGGTGTCTTGTCTCCCAACTGAAGTGATCACAGTTTACAAAGCAGAAGTTAAGGTGATTGGCTGAAATACACATAAATGAATGAATTACACTTTTTTCAAGATTTACTCAATGGACTATCAGTGTGATTGTTTTCTCAGTTACAATGTGTGTAATGAGTGTTTTACACATAAACAACGATTAAGGACAGCCTCAGGGAGAAAAAAACACATGGCTTATAGCTGTTGCCACCACAGATGTCTGGTGGTGCCTCTCTTTTTTCTCCTCCATAAGTGATGCTGCAATATTTGTATTCTGAAATTTCTTCTACACTTGTTAACATGCGTCTTTACAACCTCAGTAATTACGACTTTTTCTGAATGCACAGCTAATGCATGGCTACCAGCACACACACCAAGAAAAACTGAATGACTGACAGATGGACTGACTAAATACTGTAATTTCACCAAAATCAACAGGACACTTCTGCAACTTGTATGTCACCTGAAATTTACTTGCATCAACACTGATTTTTGTTGCATTTCATACCCCTTCTCTCGCCTCTCATTACCTGTGTCTCAACTATCAACTATTATAGAAACTCCAAAAAGTAAACAAAAAGAATTTTAGAAATAAAAGGTGTATTTGTCCAAATCCATATCTGCTAATGGTCTGCTGATGGTGGTTTTGACTGGCAGCAATTAGAGAACAACTATTCTGTCTCTCTAGTCTCACAACACAGTGTGAAGACAATTTGCACTGAAAACAACAAGCAAAGCCACATGCAGCAGCTACCCTCAGAGATGTAGGCTGCGGTGGGCCATTTCTCTGCCTTTGACCAACCACTGAAGCTGTTTACTCAGAAGAGCATGAGCTTCAACAGGATATGTAGTGAGGTTAGAGGTATGAAAAGGGAAGTGCTACAAGAGGCAGCATAAAACTAATTTTAATTTTAAGTTGCCGCTCATTTGTAGTGTAGAAGGATTGCAGAGCTCTGTACTTGCACGGTAGCCCTCTGTGAGCTTCACTGACCTTAGAGGGAGTGAAGGAGAGGTGGAAAAGCAGGAGTAACAGTCAAACTTAGTCTGCTTACATAGTCCGATGTTCGTGTTTGTATTTATATGGGAGACTAAGGCGACCTGTAGCTGCCGTAGTTGCAATTATTACAGGAGCAAAGGAGGAAGTCAGGTCATGCAAATAGTCATTGTTTCTGTTAACCATGACCAGTCGCAACCTTACCTGTGAGTTCATCATTGTAACCATGACAACTAAGGTCCTCTAACCTTAATGAAGTACTTATTTTAACTCAAATTGCGATCTTTACCTAAACCAAACCGAGTTGTTTATGCACCTAAACTAAACAAACCGTGAGCAATCCAAAACCACATGTTTATTATTGTAACCATGACAATGAGAGTCCAATACATTGTGTCTACAGGGGTGCTATTTCAGGTGATGCCCTTATGTGTTGTATAACAACTTCTTTTTACATGGCTTTATCAAATGTTGATCAGATGTTAGTTTATTTTATTTAATTTTTGTTATTTATTTAAACAGGTTAATTAAAACCTGTGCACAAGATCTAAGGATGAAAACATAGACAAACAAACAAATGTGCAGCAACAGGTCAAAGTAATTTTGTAACTTATTACACTGATACACACAGGTACAGACTTTCAAATGGATTTTTCAAACCTTTTAAACACAAAACGAAACCTTTTTTTATTCTCTGTATAGCTTTGCTACATGCACTGTACATCAAACTGCAAAGGAAATGGAAAGTGACTTCTGAGTCAACCAGGTCCACCACACATCATGATAATGTGGTCTATATTGTTTCCATCTGCCCTGCAGGCACATCATGTGCCTCTGAAAACAAATGTACCATGATAGGTCATGTCTTCATGTCCTTTGAACTGCATGTTTCACTCTTGGTTGATGAGTATGTGAAGCCCAAGGAGATCATAGAAGTAATTCTAAGAAGACATATATTTAAGTGTCTTCATGGCATGAATAAATAATGATGATGTAAGACAGCGGTCCCCAAACTTTTTTCAGTGGGGGCCACATCAACTTTCCTTTCTGAGATGGGGGGCCGAGGTTAGTCTATAACAGGAAATGATATGGGCCAGGGTGACAACCAGTATTATTGTGGAGATTACAATGATAATTTGTTGTAGCTGCCCTTCGTTTGGCTTTGGCACCACCTGTTGATTTGCAAAAAAAAGTAATAAAAAGTCTTCACATGTGTTTATTTGAAGTACCACAGATACTCCATTTATTTTATAGAAAATAACAACACAAACTGATGGTAATGCCGGGGGGAGGGCGCCGGCGAGCCAGCGGGCGGCTAGCTCTGCTTGCTGGGCGCAATGCCTNCCACCTGTTGATTTGCAAAAAAAAGTAATAAAAAGTCTTCACATGTGTTTATTTGAAGTACCACAGATACTCCATTTATTTTATAGAAAATAACAACACAAACTGATGGTAATGCCGGGGGGGGGCGCCGGCGGGCCGGCGGGCGGCTGGCTCTGCTTGCTGGGCGCAATGCCTGTGCTGGGGTGGGGGTCGCCGGCGGGCCGCCATGGGTCATCTCTCATATGCTGAGGTGCCACACCATTAAGACTAGTGTGAATGTCACAACGGAAAAGTTTGTCCAAAGTCCATAAGTTTGGTGTCTACGGACTCGGCTCGTCACGCTGAGTAACATATGTCAGCCCCAGCCTTCTGAGTCACTCCCTTCCGAAGGGCCACCATGGGCGGTCTCTCATATGCTGCCGCGGGACACGGTTAAATTCTGTGTTTTAATAATTTCCAAAAAATTTTCTCGAAAGTCCACAAATTTGGTGTCTACGGACTCGGCTCGTCACGCTGAGTAACATATGTCAGCCCCAGGCTTCTAAGTTGCTCCCTTCGGAAGGGATGCC